GAAATAACTGTATATATATATATATATATATAGCTTATTATGAAGTGTTATATCATATGGGCCCTTTAAATCCTTTTGTTATTGTCTTGGGGTAAAGTCAGCTTTATTCATGTAATATAAATAAATCTGACACATCATCAAAAAAGCAAGGTAAGAGATATTTCTAACTGAGCAAAATATAAAAGACCTTTTGCAGTTTTTAAATTTCTACAAAATTTTAGTTACAATAAGCTCATTGAGAAATTTTCTTTTAGTAACTGGCATAAGTTAATTATATTCTGTACCTTTTTTATTGTTTCTAAATCTATGGGGAAAGGATAACAGCTTATGAGGCATTAGCTACTCAAGGGTGTAAAGAGATAAACCAGAGAGTACAGCTTCAAAGAAAGTACTTTGTACTTCAATTTTAGGAAAATGAAACAGATTTTTGTCAGCTGAGATACATATATCTTAAAACCATGATGCAAATCTGCAAGAGTGATTAAATAATTTAAGAGCGTTTTCAATATTTCCCATTTTCCAACACCTGAAAATTATTTGTGTAATTGTCACATTCTTTTTTACTTTCATTTTTTAATTTAATTGGTTTTACAGCTTTTTTCAACATTTATCTACTTATTTTACTCTAATATCTCATAATTTCAATAATTTCTATTCAAATTTTTCAAAAAAGCTAAATTACACGTTGTTTTTTCTGAGAGTTATGATTATCACATGTCTGACTGAGTTTTGACAATAAATTACTTAATCATTCAAACATTCAGTATTAATGGCATGTTTTTCAAGCAGGAAATTAGGATGTATTATACAATAAATGTATTTGAGTATTGTGAGAACTTTTTAAATCGAAAAATTAAGAGTAATGTAAAGTGTTAAAAGGTACCTGAAAATTGTTTGTTTTTTCTTAAAAGTGCAACATGTTTTCACTTATGAATAATTTGTACTTAATAATCTAACTAATATTGTTTTATCTCTGTAACAATAACATTCATTACAAATTCATTTGTATTCAGGTATTCATTGATTGATTCTGAAACCATGACAGAAGAAGAAAGAAAGAATATTAAGTATACTAAGGTTGAGTAAGTATTAAGTATACTAAGGTTGAGTAAGTATTAAGTATTCTAAGGTTGAGTAAATATTATTCAGGATGTCTTCAGTTGCAATGCCATTCAGTAAAAGTGTGAAGAAAACCAAGCATAGTTAATAAATGAGGTATTTATATCATAAGTTTAAAGTGTATGTAATTGTGTGTATGTGGATATAGATATATAAGTTATATAACTAACAAATGTACTTGAATAGAACACCTCCCAGCCATAATTCTTCTGCTAAATAGAAATAATAAAGGACAACAGCTGCCAACAACAAAACATTTTAATCAGTATTTCACAAGGAAAAAAAATCTCTTACAAACCTTCAAAGATAAATTTATATGGAGACAGTATTGGTGATAAGAATGTCTGAAACATCTTATCTAGTCTATTCATTTCCAGATCCTTTGTAGATAATATGACTTCTAGTGATGGACCCTGAAATCTCTTTGCACTTGGAGATGCTTTGCAAGAAGAGTAGCAGTATTTTATTAGATTGGTGCCAACAGTTGATGACAAGAGTCCAGTCTGTGAAATGCCAGCAGTTGATACACTTTCTATTAGAACAGGACTCATGTGGTGAAACATGGCACTCTCTTTTCAAGATGTATATATTTACACAATCTTACCAAATATTTTAGGACATCACTCCCCAACTAGTTGCAATGAACCTCTGAATATGGCTTATCTAGATCAAAACCACAAATGGTCAGCATAAAAGATGTCCCAAACCTCCAACAAAGAATGATTTTAATGCAAAAGTTTGTGGTACAAATGTTTGAGATTTTGAGGCCACTTAGTAATACTATTATCCATTGTAGATAATGTGCTGAATTAAAGGAAGACCTCTGTACATGCTGTTATTTCCTTGATACAGATTATTATGGGATTGACTGAGTTTGACAGCAGCCTTGGAGAATGATTTTATTATAGTTGTGTCATCTTAATTATGAAGACTGATAGGCTTAGTATCATGGTGTGGGGCAGTTTTAGCTGGTTTAGATTTGATGTACTGTTAATAGTTAAGGAAGTTACCAATACCTTTTTGCATTGTGACATTCTTGAAAATATTAACCTGTGTGAAGTGATAGAATACTATGAGGAAGGACTATACCTCCTTCAGCATGACAATTCACCATCCTATATCACATGCCACATTAAGAAATTTTGTAACATCATATGAGGAACAGAAAGAATAGTCATAAAATATCACTACACTTAGAATTGTTTTGCAAGATAAGTTCCAGTCTATTCCACCAGATGCGTACCAATACCTGGTGGGGAAGTATTAGCAACAGAAAGTTCAGGTTGTGAATAATGACAATCATGAGCCTCAGTAGTGAACAAAATATCTTCCTTCTTAAATTAGGCAAGCTGTTCTAATACTTATGTTAATATATTTTTGTAGCCATACTTTATAACTTTTTTGTTATTTTGTTTGCACAGTATTTAATGAGTATTGAAATGCTATCAGGTTACTGAACTAAAGTGCAATAGATGATCAGATGACTAGGCCTTATTAAAGTACATGAAACTTAAAAATGTTTAGAAAGATTTGAAAGGCAAAAAGAAATCATTCTTTGATGAGTCATCAAAACACAAAGCTAGTGAATAGTAATAATTAATGTGTATGTGATATTACATCACAATAACTTGAATATTATTTTAAGTTGTATCATTTTTTACTGTTCTAATACAGATTGCTAACAAGAAAAGTGTACAAACTAGCATTTCATCTATACCTTGTCTATTTTATCCTTCTGCCAACAAGACCTTTTGCTTTATACCAGAGCCCATCAGGCTGGCTGAACTGAAACAAAGGGTTAATTGAAATGCTATTTATGACATATTTGTGATAAGTTTTAGGGCATAAAATTTTCATCTGGCAGAACTTAACATTTAACAAAATGTGTTTGCTATTATTTTACAATAAGACTGGTAATAATTAAATCACATCATTCTTTACTGGCCCAGTTGCAGGTTTCTAGAATTTTAACTACATACATATAATTTAAAGACAACAAGGGACCTGTTGTTCCATCCAGGCTGTCCCATCCACTAACCTAGTCTTTGAAAATAAAATAAAATTATTTAAAGCCAGCTCTTATCATTCAAATATTTATCAAGCCTTCCCTTAAATTAACTGCCTCCACCTTATCCAAAGGAAATGCATTCGAAAGACCAACCACCCTGTTAAAAAAAATAAAGCTGTCTTAGCAAAAGATAACTCTTACCCTGCCAAAATTTGTTTTTGTGTCCCCTAATCCTAACATTTTCAACACTGAGTACAAACAAAATGATGCATCAACACTATTAATTCTCTTAACAATATTAAACACTTCAATGAAATCCCCACTAATCCTTCTTTTTTCAAAAGAATACAATTTCAGAGATCTTAACTTGTCCTTGTATGACAACCTTTCCATCCCAGGTACCATCCTAGTAGCCTTTTTTTCAACCCTTTTCAACATTTCAATGTCCATCCAAAGGTAAGACATTAAAAACTGAACGAAATACTCCAAATGTTGCTTAACCAATGACCTATGCAATGAAATTATAATCTCTTCAGACTTTTATTCAATATTTATGTAGATACAATCTAACAAAACAAGAATTATCTGTTGTGAATTGGACTGCTGAGTAATTTGGAGACACTGATCAAATGTGAAAAATATTTAAAGATAAATTTCTAACTATTCAAGACAAACATATTCCTTATAGGAAAAAAAGGTGGATGCAAGTAAAAAAAGATGTTATCTCACAAAAGTTATAGGAAATAACGTTTAAAAAAACATCACAAATTTAAGAAATTGAAATTAACTCGAAATTTAAATTAATGGGAGATTTAGAAGATCATGGAAGTTGGTCGAACAGGAAATTAGAACATCAAAACGGATGTATGAAAATTGAACAAAGGTTGGCCACAAATATAAAAATTAACAGTAAGGATTTCTTTAAATACATTAAGGGTGAACATAATATTGGAATAGGAATCCTTGAGGGATGATAAAGGAAGGTTTGTATCTGATGGTTGTGAGATAGCTGGGTTATAATATTCTGCATTTTCTTCAGTTTTTACTATCAAATGTTTAAACAATATTTCTCATCTTGACATTTGGTAGATGGAAATAAGATCAAATAAGATGACTGTATTAATTCTAAGTTTGTTAAGAAAACATTGGGAAGTGTAAAGAATAATAAGGCTCCTTGGGCAGATAATATTTCCCCAAGGGTTTTGAAGGAGGTTAAGGATTGGATATATAAGCCACTTGTTACTAATTTTGTAAGTCCTTAAACAGTGGACAAGTGCCAGAGGATTGGAAATTGGCTAATGTTACTCTTCTTTTCAAGGAAGGAGATAAAACTGTCCCAGTAATTATAGGCCTATCAATCTTACATCAGTTGTGGGAAAAGTTTGGAAAGTCTGATAAAAGATACCTTGCAAAGTCATTTAACAAAGTTTAGAATTTTATTGGATAGTCAATATGATTTCACTAAGGGGAAAATCTTGGCAACAAATCTTTTGATATTATTTGAAAAGGTTACTGATTATGTAAATGAGGGTAAGGGTGTAGATTTGGATTTTCAGAAAACATTTTACAAGGTGCCACATAAAAGGCTTGTAAAAAAATGATCTTTATAGGTGTGGAGGATAAGTTAGCTAATTGGATAGAAGAGTGACTGGATGGAAGAAAGGGTTGTTATAAATGGAGTTCAGTCAAACTGGATTAATGTCACAAGTGGGGGTACCTCATGGCTCAGTTTTAGGACCTTTATATTTCAATGACATATAGTAAGGAATATCAATAAATTACTTACATTTGCTGATGATATCAGGGTTTTGGGTCTTACTAGCTGTGAATAAGATGTTTCTGCTTTACAATTTAGATCATTTACTGAGTTCAGATGGCAGATGAGTTTTAACTACAATAAATGCAAAATAATGCATGTGGGTTATCAAAATTTGAATTATAAATATAATTTAGATAGGTATAATATTAACAGTGTTTTGAAAGAAAGGGATCTCGGTGTAATAGTTGATCAGTCTCTTAAGCCATCCAAGCAGTGTGCTGTTGCTGGTGGTATGGCAAATAGGATTTTAGGTTGTATCTACAAAAATATTGAATACAAATATAAAGAGGTTATAAGTTCATTGTATAGGTCACTGGTTAAGCCACATTTGGAGTACTGTACTCAGTCTTGAGCTACTTACCCTAGGAAGGACATTAATTTGTTGGAAAGGGTTCAGGGGAGGGTTTTTAGAAATGGTGCCTGGGATGGAGGGGTTGTCATATGAGGAGAGGTTAAGATCTTTGAAATTGTTTTCTCTTGAAAAAAGAAGAGTTATAGGATATTTGATTGAGGTGTTAATATTGCAAAGGGAATTGATAGTGTTGATGCATCATTTTTTTTTCATGAGAGTCATCCTCAGCTTTAACAGTTTTATTTTTCTGACAGCCTCTGGAATGGGTTTCTTTTAGATGTTGTGGAGGCAGTAAATTTAAGTGAGTTTAAGAGAAAGCTTGACAACTATATGAATTATAAGGGCTAGCTTTGAGTTTTTTTTTAATTAATTTATTTAATAGTTTTAGTTTAGTTTTGAGGATGGGACAGTGAGATGGATCAATATGTCCCTTGTCGTCCCTAAACATTACGCTATGTTATCCTACTTACCATTCTACTAGCAACAGTGCATTGCTTGGATGGCTTCTATGTCATATTACTACTAATGTGTATGTCTTGTATGTCTCCCTACTGTTTGATTAAAGTTTCTGTATTAAAAATTATTGTATTAATTAGAAAGTTACCAACATTCTTGTAACAAACTACTTTTTCATAATGATTCTATATTTTAGTTAAATTCAGAATTTTTGCTTTTAGAACTGACAGTAGGTTATTCAAGATACGTTATTCTCCTACCACTGGTCAAGTTCGATGTAGAATTGCAAGAGTTCCTTCAAAGTAAGTTCACAACATACTCTAATGTTCTTTATTAAAAATTGTTTTTCAAATATCTAGCCAAAAAAAACTTTTGAAATAAATTTAATGAACATATAGAGTTAAAATTAATCCAGTCATTGGTAAATGAAAACCGTTCATAAAGCATACAACTTAATTTATATTGTATCTCAGTGTAATAAAAAAAATCATTTCCAAAACTATACAGCTATCTTCTGTAGAAAGCAAAACTATTCACATTCGTTTACTGTTTCTTATTAATTATAAAGAACAGTTGTGTAAATTTTTTATTTGCATAAATGTCCTACAAAGTAAAAGTTTAGAAGTTAGAATAGCTGTTTACTTTTTCATTTTATTATCCAGATTCTTTGAAATTTTTAGTTTTTGTAATGTAAAGGAAACATTTATGGCATCATATTTTATTACCTTGAAGAAAATTATATTTTGCTAATGCAATTTATTTTTTGTGTTCAGTTAAATTGACTAGCTTCAAAATCTTTGCAGCCAACATTACAATCTTTGAATTCTTACAAAATTCTAGAAATTCATCAGAAAAGCTAATAAACCAACTTTCCATTGGAAATGAAGACAGTCCTCCACCTCCTTATACAGAAAACAGTTCTGTGCCACAAGGAAACTCTCTTGTATCAACACATACAAGTTCTTCTTTTGCTATGACAACCCAACTGAAAGATACTGTGTTATCAGACAACAACAGCAACATCATTGCAAGTTCCAGGCCAACAAGTGGTGTAAAAAGGTTTTAAACATATATATATATATATATATATAAGCATTATTTTCTTGCACTTTTCTATAAATTTATTTTTCTAGTAGCATTATTAAAGTTTTGTTGAACATAAACTAGTATAATCACAAATGAATAGTTTGTGCAACAAAACAGTTTCATTTCTGTATGTGTAAAAAGTTATGTGTAAATCTCAAGAAAAATATTATTGAAATATGTAAAAATGAACAATTTAAAATAATGCACTATTTGATGTAACTGTTGTTTTTTAATTTGAAATGTTTCCAAAACAAATATGTGTAATTGAAGTGGTTTGATTACTCACAAATTTAAATTTTAACTCTTAATAAGTTTATATATTTCCATACAATCATAATGTAGTAAATAAGGCTGGGAAATTAGTGAAATTTCCTAGTCAATTAACTATTAGTTGTTGGTCTACTTCAAGGGTGAAATTCTGCCAGTAATCACCAGTACTGAGTACTAGAACTTATTCATTTAAGGCAATACTAGTACCAGGACTTATTTGAGCTGCTTTGTCATTTTTTATGTTTATACATAGATTTTTTTTCTTTTTCCAAAACACGTTCATTTCACCCTCTAATGTTTTTTGAAAATTTCACTTAATCGATTAAGTTCAACTAATCAATAATTATAACAAGAAATTACTGTAAAAAATGACTATTTTGACTTGACTCTTCTAAAAAAGTGCTAAAATTGGGTTTTTGTACATGTGGTGAGCAGACCACAAATAGTCTGCTGTGTACCTTTGTGCTTAACAACAAACAACAGCAGAAAAATTATTTATTATATAATCCTGTAGGCTCAACGTACCCATCCCAGTACCGAATATATCAGGTGTTTCACCAATGCTCAGCAAAGGATTTGTTCAGGCTCAGTTGATTCCTCCCAAAATTAATCATTCATTCATTCAAAATCAGGTAAAACATGATATCATTACTGAATTTGAGTCAGTTAAATATAATTTTTTATAAATATGAAGTATGAATTAGTTATAGAATATTATGAACCACTCATCATTTTTTGTTAATGTTTGCCCTATTAAAATGTTTTGCTACTTTTAAGAATTTCTAGATGTTATTAGTAAAATGTTTATAATTTTTTGTGATGTTACATATTCTACAATAACAAGATACTCTGCTAAGCTTTAGTTAGGATATTTCTTCCTGTCACTAAGGGGATTTTTTTGTCTCTTGAAACTTCCCGATTTTCTACACCCACAAAATGGGAAGTAAAAAGTTCAGATGTGTGAAGCATCTAAAAATAATATAGCCTTGACAAAATTATCCCAAATTTTTATTTTTCTCTCACTTTTTTTTTTTTGCTCAATTCATGACTCCTTTTTTTTCTAGGGCTTATCCTACCTTATATTCTTATATATAGTAAAAAAATTATTTTTTACAAGTAACTACCTGAATATTGTGGGAATAGTTTTGGAAAGTCTGATAAAAGATTCTTTGCAAACTCATTTAACAAAGTTTAGGATTTTGTTGGATAGTCAACATGGTTTCACTAAGAGAAAATCTTGCTTTACAAATCTTTTGACATTCTTTAAAAAGGTTACTGCTTATGTAGGTGAAGGTAAGAGTGTAGATTTGGTGTATCTAGATTTTCAGAAAGCATTTGACAAGGTGCCACATAAAAGGTTTGAAAAATAAAATTGCTATAGGAGTGAGGGATATGTTAGTTAATTGGAGAGAAGAAAGCAGAGGACTGTTATAAATGGGATGGGGTACCACAGGGCTCAGTCTTAGGACCTTTGCTCTTTTTTGATTTACATGAATGACATACAGGAAGGAATGGTAAATAAATTACTTAAATTTTCTGATGATATTAAGGTTTTGGGTGTTACTGGTTGTGTGGAGAAACTGCTGCTTTGCAAAAGGATTTACTGAGTTGGGCAAATAAATGGTAGATGGTTTGTAATTATAATAAATGCAACATAATACATGTGGGTTATCATAATTTGAATTATAAGTATTGTTATGGCAGCGGAACTCACATGATGCTGGGAGCATGCGTGCTGGAGTTTCTCAAAGGATCATGAATTTGCCCGGCAACTCTAGTCTGATCAAGATGCCCTCCTTTTTAATATATATGCCTGGCAAAAAAAACAGCAGGATTGAAGAGAGAGATAATTGAGTCAAGACAGTAGGCATCGTAAGTAAAGTGTGTGAATCAGTGATTTATAGCGTGTGTTAAAAAGGTTATAAAGGACTGGAAATTCTGTGTATTACTAAAATTTGTATCGAAAAAGAATA